GCTCTGGGCGGTGGGCTGGAGCCGCGGGGAAGCCCGGTGGGGATGCCGGGCCGGCGACTGCGGATCCAGAACCCCCTGTACCCGGTGACCGAGGGCTCCTACGGTGCCTACGCGGTCCTGCTGCTCGCCCTGGTGCTGTTCGCCGTGGGCGTTGTGGGCAGCCTGTCCGTCATGTGCGTCGTCTGGCACAGCTACTACTTGAAGAGCGCCTGGAACTCCATCCTTGCCAGCCTGGCTCTCTGGGACTTCCTGGTCCTCTTCTTCTGTCTCCCGGTCGTCATCTTCAACGAGATCACCAAGCAGCGGCTTCTGGGCGACGTCTCCTGCCGCGCCGTGCCCTTCCTGGAGGTGAGCGCGAGTTCCCCTGCAGCCCAGGGGTGCTGCCAGGCCCGGAGGCCTGGGGGCTGCCTGGCTTCTCCCGCAGGTCAGGCCAGGGGGCAATACAGTGAGGGTCTTGGTGGCTCTCAGGTAACCAGCAGCCAGGTGTGCAGGGCCCTGGGTTCCAGGCCCAGGAGCAGCCTCTCTGATGGTCCGCTGCCCCGCCTTAACCCTCCTCCGTCTTTCCACCCAAGAAATCACTCTGTCCTTTGTGTGCCTCCTTCCTCTCCCTCTGTGGCTCCTCTTCACCCCTCATCTCCTGCCTCCCTGGGCAGTGCCTGAAGGCAGACTCCAATTTCCTAGAGACCCCCACCCCAGCCTCCAGTCAAGTCAGTGTCTACTCCCCCGCATGCCAACATGGAAGGAAGGATGGCTCCTCACTGTGATGGTTGCTGGCGTCACCATCAGCCACCTCCTCGATCCTCTCTGAAAGGGGAGACCTGGCTCTGGGGGCCGGAGCTGCGGGTGGGGGCCCTAGGGGCAGCCCCGTCACTGGCATACGGGGTTTACTGGGCTGGTCACAGCTCCTCTCCAGTTCCCTGGCTCCCGACCAGAGGTGGACCAGGTGACACTCGCAGCTGTGTTGTTCTGTGATTCCAAGGTGGACCACTCCCCTCACCGCGGGGAACTTCCCTGCTGGGATGAGCGCATGGGTGTGGATGGACCTGTAGATTGCAAGGAGACAGCTTAAGCAAAAGAATGAGAAAAGACCAGAATGTGTGCACTGGTGCGAGGTGCAGCAAGGCTGCCTCATCTGTGTAGGGACGGATTAGACGAGCAGCCTTGCAGATTTCGGTTGTGTGGAGGGTCACAGTGAGGGCTGGAGTGACTGTGGCCGCCCCACGGGGGCTGCCGTTCCTCCTGGAGTGGAGGGTGTTGTGCGACACGGTGGGGTGGGGGGACTCGGAAGAGGCACGTGGACGCAGTCCCGGTCCCGGCTCTGTCCCCGGCCACTGCGGCTAGGGACGAGTCCACAGACGAACAAGCCCTCGGGCTCAGTGGTCTGCGCCCTTCCCAGCCCGGAGAGACCACCTACTGGGGCCCAGAGGCGCTCACACCTGAAGGAAGTCCCTGCAGCCGGGCACAGCCTTGGCCCTCGGAAGCTCAGAGCCCAGGTGCGCTGCGGGAGGTCAGGCCGGGGCCTTGGAACTGGGCAGACTGGACAGAAGCTGGGCTTTGCCCCTGACCGGCTGAGTGCCCTCAGCAAGTCGCTCGACCAACTCAGCCTCCGCCTCCTCCCCTGTGAACTGGGGATGATCGTCACAGGGCTGAACGGACTTCTGAAGGATTGCATGTGCGATGTCACCAAGTGCTCTGAATTAGAGTGATTCGATTGTGGTGGTTTTTCCTGGGAAAGGTCTGAGAACAGGAGGGGAGAGCAGACACGTATGAGCACTTGCCTGCGTGTGGCTGGTGGCCAGGAGAGCCCAGCCCCGCCGGATGGTGGGGCTCAGTCACCTATATCCCCGAGGCGGGCCCCTCCACGGACTGGAGGACTGAGTGACCCAGGAGCTGACGGAGCTTGGTGACGGGTGGGCGTCAAGGGACAAAACATGACCCCCGTCCCTTTTGAACGGAGGCCCCCGGAGGGCCAGGGAAGAGCTGGGTGACGAGTGGGTACTTCCTGAGATGTGGGAGAGAGTGGTGTTCTTGCCCAAGCCTGCCAGGATGGGGGGGTTTCCCACAGAGCACACTCACTCGGAGGCAGCCGGCGCTAATACGCAGCGGCCTGTGCCGCCCCGGCCGGGAGGGAAGAGCCTGGACCGACGGGGTTCTGAGCACAAGCTCTGGGCGTGGCCGGACGCCCCCTGAGCTGGAGGCCTTCCTTCTCTCTGGCTGCCTTCCCTGCTGCTGTGCTCCTCTGCTCCCAAGGTGGGCTTCCGTGACCAGCATGTGGGCTCAGGCCGGCCTGGAGGGGCTGCTTCTCTGCAGGGCTCTGGCCCCGGGCTTCTCGGGCGGGGCAGGAGGGACTGAGAGTGTAAGTGTGTGGATGTGAGTATGAGTGTAAGAGCGTAAGTATGAGAGTGAGCACGCGTGTGTGTGTGTGTGAGTGTGAATGAGTGTGCCCCCACATCCCCCAGGCTGCTCGCTCCATGCACGTCGACAGTGAGGGGACAGAGGACCCAGGACGCCCCATTCATACCTGTGTTCGTCCTCAGAGACAGTTTCCCAAAGTCTCAGGGAGCACGAGGTTTGTGGGACCCAGGCCGCTCACCCTGGCCCCAGAGGCGAGGAGGCAGGTGGCAAGAGAGGCGTCCTGTGTGGAGACCTGAGCTCTGCTGCCGCCACGTCCCTGGTCCTGCATGGGCGCAGGTTGTCCTGTGACACGTGGGCCATGAGACCTGAGGGTGACAGGAGGTGGGTGGGAAGTGCTCCCTGCCCAGTGGAGTTACCGCTGTCTGTCCCACGCCTGCCACCAGCTCTTGGTCTCCCCGGGCTGGAAGCCGGCCCCTCAGCGGCCCGGGGCTGAGCCCTCGCCTCTTGCTCCATGCCTGCCCGCAGGTCTCCTCCTTGGGTGTCACCACCTTCAGCCTCTGTGCCCTGGGCATCGACCGCTTCCACGTAGCCACCAGCACCCTGCCCAAGGCGAGGCTCGTCGAACCGTGCCCATCCATCCTGGCCAAGCTGGCGGTCATCTGGGTGGGCTCCATGACGCTGGCCGTGCCCGAGCTCCTGCTGTGGCATCTGGTGCAGGAGCCAGGCCCCACTGGGGGCACGGTGGACTCGTGCGTCATGAAGCCCTCGGCCCGCCTGCCTGAGTCCCTGTACTCGCTGGTCATGACCTACCAGAACGCTCGCACCTGGTGGTCCTTTGGCTGCTACTTCTGCCTGCCCGTCCTCTTCACGGTCACCTGCCAGCTGGTGACGTGGCGGGTGCGGGGCCCCCCGGGCAGGAGGCCTGAGTGCCGGGCGGGCCGGCAGGAGCAGGGTGAGGGCCAGCTCAGCAGCACCGTCATGGGCCTGACGGCCGTCTACGCTCTCTGCACCCTCCCCGAGAACGTGTGCAACGTCGTGGCGGCCTACCTGTCGGCCGCGCTGACCCGCCGGACCCTGGACCTCCTGGGCCTCGTCACCCAGTTCTCCTCCTTCTTCAGGGCCGCCGTCACGCCCGTGCTCCTCCTGTGCGTGTGCCGGCCACTGGGCCGCGCCTTCCTGGACTGCTGCTGCTGCTGCTGCCAGGGCTGTGGGGGGGCCGCAGCCGCCGCCGGCCCGGACGGCAAGCTCAAGACGGAGGAGCTGTCTGCCCCCGTCTGCTTCCACAAGCCCAGGGAGTCGCCGCCACTCCTGGCCCTGGGCACGCCCTGCTGAGGCCTGGATGGCCTGGGGTCGGGAGGGAGCTCCGTCCCCACGGGTCCTGCTTTTCTGTCTGTCCCTCTGTACAGAGATGGATTTGGTGCCTCTTGCTGGGGTCCAGGTGTGTGGGAGCCCCCTCCCTGAGCCCCCTTCCCAGACACGCTGGGGCCTGCCCGCCCGTCCTCTCACTGGTGGGCGGTGGTGCCTCCGGTCCCTAGAGCTGCCCAGAAACTCTGCACCCCCCAGCCGGAGGGCAGAGCCTGGCCTGGTCCAGCCCCAGTCCCTCTCTCCATCTGGAGCCCGGCTTGTGCCCCATCATCACCCATCCTGGACGAGGCTCTTGCAGGCCAGCGACTGGGCTGTCCTCCGGACCGGACCCATCCCAGCCCTGGACATCTCCTCAGGCGCCATCCCTTCTCTGGGAGGATTTCCTTCTCCATCCTTCTTTGATGTATCCCGGTGGCCCCGTCCCCAGCCCCTGCGGGGTGCTCCCCCACAGAAGGCCCTTCCTGGAAAACAATAAACTAGGTAGATCCGCCCCTGTGCCCCCAGGACTTTCTTGTGCCACATTCTGGCAGTGCCCGATGCACCTGGGCCTTCCCCTCCTGGCCACCTCTGGCCCTTCCCTGCCTGTGGCCTGTGTCTGGTCCAGCCCGAGGCCTGTGGCTTTCGAGAGGCAGAGTGGATGGAGGGCTGGGAGCTGGGGCACCACGTCCTCATGCTGGCCTCAGCCCAGCCGTCCCCGGGGAGCCAAAGGCTGCAAACTTGTCCCCACTGGAGCCCCCGCCGCTGCTCCTCCTTCCCCACAAAGCCCCCATTTGAGGGAAGCCAGCAGCCTTCCCTCCATGAAGCCGGGGCTTCCAGCCTCACTGACTCTGAGAGCCATTCTTGTTCAGCTTCTTAGAACAGACTGTTCGGCCTGCGGATGGCCCAGCTGCCTGCCCCTTGCCTGCCCCCACCCCACCCGCTTCCTGGCAGCCAGCGCTCCATCGACGCCCCCGCAGACTCGTTCCTCTTGCTGCTCCTCCAGCCCTTTCCAGAGGCCCCTTCGCCATCTGGGGCCAGAGAAGTTGGCACAGGGTCAGTTAGACGGATGCCTCGGCCTAGGCCACTGACCACTCCCCGCCCCGCAAGCCCACCCTTCCTGTCTGAAGTGCAGCCCTGGGTCCCACAGTGACTTCCACTGCCAGCCCCGCCGAGAACACCTGTGTGGGGTCGCAGGAGGGTCCCCAGGGCCAGGGACACTGAGGCGCAGGAGTCGCCGGTGCCCTGGATCCATTCTCCTCTGTCCACCCCACCCACGCCCAGCCTGCCCCGCCCCAAGCCTCCTTCCCCCTCTCCTGGAGATCTTAACGGCCTTGTTCTCTCTCCCTGGCACCCACCCCCAGGACGGGCGACGCCAAGAGGGAGGCGGTTGCTAGGTGATGGCGCTGCGAGCACGCACTCTTTGTGCTGGGAATGACACCCCTTGTTTCTCGGCAGACCTACTGCCACAGGGACTGAAGCCCCCCACCCACCTGCTTCGTCTGCAGAAAGGAGGCAGGTGGGGGGAGCAAGTTGGAGAGGGGTCCGAAGAGGGGCTTGTTTTCCTCTGCATCACCCCCCACACTCCCTCTCCCCCTGACCCCCCCAATCCTGGCCATACCAGCAGC